CCAAGTCTTACAGCCTTGTCAAAATGGATCGTCTTCGGGCTTTAACATTCACTCACGTCATTTCATGACTCTAAGTTCTGTCAAAGAAGGGCAACTGTATGCACCTCATTTTTTATGGCCCTTAAGATTTGGACAACCACGCATGCACACCCGATGATGAATGTGTTTGTTCGGCAAGTGCTCGAAGTCCTCAATGGAATGCCACAGCTTTGAGCCTTTTAAACCCTGCACCCTTGCTACGTCATTTTTCGACCAAGCCTTGGTCTTTCAAGCTTGCAGCTTTTGGTCACCTGCCGGCCACTGTTAAAGGCTGTCAGCTATCACTCTTGGGCTGCCGGCCACTGATGTGGCTTGCCAACCACCAGTGATGGCCGGCCGACCACCACTGATGGCCGACCGGCCACCAGTTTCTTTTGCAAATATTTTATGCCAGTTGTGCCAATTAGCCAGCTGTTTGCACAGATACATCTACACCCACGTGTAGGGCTGGATCTCCTTGTAGTGATTTCATGTTTTCTATATATAGGAGCCCCTCCCTTCTTGTTTTAAGGTTAGAAACTTTGGAGATCAAAAAAATTTGCTCTTTACAAATTTTCTATACTTTTTCCTACACCTCCTTAACCAAAGTTGATCATCTTGGAGCGGAGGTTTCTTGAGGCCTTCTTGGAGCTCTAGAAATTGGTTTTGGCTTGAATTATTGCCTAAAGTTGATATTTGCCTCAAGAGGTATAACACTTGCCTTTTTACCTTACTTTACCTACTTGTTTTCTATCTTTTTCCCACTAATTTTTGGGCGGTAAAACTCTATTTTTGTGGGCTGAAATTGACGGTTTTAGGCCATTTGAGGTTAGGGGGTGGTTCATCCTTCTTTCATCCTTGTTTGTAAGGCCTTTCCACCTTTGTTTCCCATCTTTTTTTGGGCTTTTAAACACTGAATTTCAGACAAATTTCAGTGGTGAAAAACATGTTTTGAAGTCCAAATTTGGAAGGGTTGCCTCCCCTCCTTTTGTCTTGCTTACTAGCCTAGTTTGTGCCATGTTTTAGCCTGTTAATCTAGCTTGTTTTAGCTTAATTCCAACATGTTTTAGTCTCTACTTTGAATTGTTTTGCCTCTGTTTTGGGCTGGTTGTTGCATTTGAGTCTTGTTTTGCATGGTTGTAGTGTAAGTGTCCTAACAAGCTTGGTGTTTTAGGCCTTTAGACACCACTTGTTTGAGTTGATTGCATGTTTTAGTACTTTTCTCACTTAATTTCAGCACTATCAATCTCTGCAACCTCCCTAATTTCTTAACTTTTTCATTTTCTTTGAGGGTTGTTTCAACCTTGGGATTGTGTAAGCTTGAGATTGAGGTCCATGCTTAATGGTTTAATCCTCTTTTGGGGGTTCATTATCAACGGCATGACACCTCTCTCTTGCCTTAAACTACTCATTCTTTGACACTTTCTTTTCTTTAGAGGACTTCTCACCAATGGACTTAATTGGTTAAAAAATGGTTGGTAAGTTAAAATGGGTAAATAAAAGTGAAACTAAAATTTTACAAGATAAGAATTTGGTTGTGTTTTGGTGTGTTCAAATCGGACGTTAATTTGAACACATGGAAAATTGGGATATTCCATACTCAAAGTGATGAAATGTGCCAATTTTCTATGGTCTCCATTGCCCTTGATCATGCATGATAGGGTGATTGTTTTTTGGTCTTGTTTGTGAATTTATTGAACTTGTACGTCTTAGTTCTTTGGTCATCATGCAATGAAATTACTTGATTGATGGTTTAAGAGCTAAATGTATCACTCCTTTGAGATGTTTTGATGATAATGGGGGATACACAGCACAAACAACCTGTGAAAATACCCTGTATATGTTCTGATACAGGAAGATGAATCAATGCATCAGTGGCTGACAGGCCACTTTCCATGGCCGGCAACCTTCAACCATGGCTGACTAGTGGCTGGCAACCTTTACCAGTGGCCAGCCAGCCACTGATACAAAACTCAGTAGAGTGCTGGTAAGGCAGAGCAGAGTGAGCAGCAGTGTTGGTGTTCAACTGTGCAAACAAAGGCATTCGGAAGCAAAACGGTGGTCTTTTCGGGTGGAAACCAAGCATGCATATGCACATCCCTTGTTTCCCGAGGCGTAGTAGTTAGTTGTTTAGTTTAATCATTAATTGCACCTGCATTGTAATTATTTAATTAATTAATTAGTTAGTTAACTAGTTAAGTAATTCAAGTGTTGTAATAGTTAGTTAATTTATTCGGTTTGTAATAATTAGCTTAATTAGCTTAGCTTAGTTAACGAGTTAGTTTAGTTCATTCGGCCTCTCCCTCGTGAGAGTGCGAAGTTGTAATAATTTGTATGTCTTCCAACCCCACGTCTTTCTTCCTTTTATTTACCACCTTATGATGGTCAGATTAGGAGCATCATGTTTTGATTAGCATACTTTATGCTTGTATCCATTCATTTGTGTTGCATGCACCGAGGCTCGGCGCATCATTCAAACTGCATTGTTGTTTCAATACTTTGGTAAATACGTGCCTAGATCGCATGTTTTGAAGTAAGTCAAATGTCATATTAGTAGCCGAGCCTAGTAGTTGCATTATCGCATGTGTTGCATTAGGCATCTTGTATAATTAAAGATCATGCATATTTTTCTAGCTCTCTTGTCTTATCTTAGCTTGGAGTACTAGGTGAGTTTTTAGTGCTTTAGCATACTTGCATGAGTGTGAGTGACTGCCATGACTAGCATGCTTGCCATGAGACTATGTGCTTAAGTGATAAACTGTTTGAGTACCTGTAGATGAAGGCTTGTTGCTTAAATTGGAACTATTCAATGAATGTACGTTTTAAGCCCACTTTGTTAGGTGGCAAATTCACAAACTTTAAGCCCACTTTGTTAAGTGGCAAATTCACAAGCTTTAAGCCCACTTTGTCAAGTGGCAAATTCAAATCCTTTTTGAAAAACAAACATGAAATTGAATTGTTCCAATTTGAGCAAACTAGTCTATACTTGTGTGTGTGCTCACCACATAGTAATGCTAGCCTAATAATCAGAACAAGAGCATATATTGTAAATAAGATTCACATCATGATTAGTAGAGGCCGATCTTGGATCGGGCGAGCGGGGGTGCTCAATTCATGACATTCCCCTCTCATACGTAAGTTCCCGAGCAAAGGCAACTTTGGTGATGACGGACACATGGCCTTTGGCACGAGTAATGGGTTTCCTAAATTTCTCCAAAATAAAATATTTAGGTGGCGATTCTGTATCTGGCAAAACAGTCTATTTTTGGCAATTTGATTCAAAATCGATTTTATAAAAGATTTGCTAGATTTGGACTCTTTGGTGTTTATCAATTTCACATTGCACTTGTGAGATTAGATTCAAAACCGCGAGAGTCCGAACTGTAGTGCTTATTTTGAACTTCCAAGAGGGGGCGCGAAAAAGTCGGGCTACACCTACCATAATTTTCTAAAAATTCCAGATAACACATCAACCAAGTCAATTTCGTGGTCGGATGCCAATAAGGCCTTTAATTCGTAGAACAGAATGTAACACACCAGATATTTCTTTGACAGACAGTTACAAATGCAAGTAACATATAATTCATGCAATTAATGCAAAATTTCATCTTAATTTCTTATTAGGCGTCCTTAATCATAGATTAATGACTAATCACAGGTCGGGGTTGTTACAGTCTTTCCCCCTCAAAGGGTTTGGTACTCCAAACTTGAATTATCTTCATTTTGGTGGAATATCAAATCTAACGAAAACAAGTCAGAGTATCTCTTCATCATATGTTGTTCCGTCTCCCATGTTACATATGTCCCTCCATGGTTTTGTCAATCCACTTTCACTAACGAAATTTGTTTGTTCCTTAATCTTTTGACTCGGCAGTTCACAATCTGAATTGGCCTCTCTTCGTATGTATAGTCATCTTTCAGAAGCACATGAGTTGGTTCAATCACATGGTACGGATCCCACAAATATTCTCGAAGCATTGAGACATGAAAAACATTATACATATGTTCTATGACCGGTGGTAAGGCTACCTGATACGTCACAGTATTGATTTTCTCAAGGATTTCGTATGGCCCAACATACCTCGGTGCTAACTTACCTTTCACTTCAAACCGTATATGGCCTTTCATTGGAGTCACTTTTATACGCACATGATCTCCAACTTCATATTCTCTATCTCACCTTTGAACATCTGCATAACTCTTTTGCCGACTTTACGCGATTTTTAGTCGTTGCTGTATTAGCTTCACTTTCTCAGTCGTCTCTTAGACTAGTTCTGGTCTCAATAACGGTCTATCACCGACTTTGACCCAACAAACTGGGGAGTGGCACTTCCTACCATATAATGCTTCATGAGGGGCCATTCCAATGCTTGAATGATAGCTATTGTTATACACAAATTCGGCCAAGGGTAAATGAGTCTCTTAATTTCCTTGGAAGTCTAACATACATATCCGTAACATGTCTTCCAATGTTTGAATGGTCCTTTTAGATTGACATTGTTTAGTCTCAGTTCAATTCCCAAAGCCTGTTGTAAACTCTGCCAAAATCTTGAAGTAAATTTGGGATCCCTATCGGATACTATGAAAACTGGAACTCCATGCAATTTGACAACGTCATTAACATAAAAATTAACAAACTTATCCACATTATACAAAGATTTGGCAGGCAAAAAGTGGGCAAATTTAATTAAACGATCAACAATGACTCACATAGAATCCATACCTCGGGAGGAGCGAGGTAATCCAACAATGAAGTCCATCGTAATATGCTCCCATTTCCATTCTGATATTGGAAGCAACTGAAGTAATCCAGCGGGTTGCTGATGTTCAGCTTTAACTTGTTAGCAATGCAAGCATCTAGCCACAAAATCAACAATGCTTTTCTTCATTCTAGCCCACTACAAATTCTGCTTCAAATCATGGTACATCTTTGTATTTCCCAAATGTATAGCAAATTTTGAATTGTGAGCTTCAGTCATAATTCATTTCCTCAGGTCAGAACAATCCAGTACACATAGTCTGCCATGAAAGTTTAGCACATTGTTCCCAAATACAAACCCCGGCCTTGGTTTTGATGCAAATTCATCAACAATCATCTTCAAAAACTCATCGTCAAGCTGTTTCTCTTTAATTTCTTCAATCATTGCAGGCTAGACAGAAATAGCAGCTAGGATTCCACCCAGTTCATGTAGCACAATCTCAATCTCACTTCTTTCTAAGTTATGTAATAACTCTCTCTGGCCAGTAAGCAAACATGACAAGTTCCCAATCAATTTTCTGCTCAAGGCATCCGCGACTATATTTGCCTTTTTTGGATAGTACAAAATTTGCAAGTCATAATGTTTGATCAATTCCAGCCATCTTCTCTGTCTCATGTTCAGTTCTTTTTGGGTGAAGAAATATTTTAAGCTTTTATGATCCGTATATACTTCACAAGTCACTAGATATAGACAATGGCACCAAATTTTTAATGCAAAAATCACAGCTGCCAATTCAAGATCATGAGTTGGATAATTCTTTTCATGTGGGCAGAGTTGTTGAGAAGCATAAACAATCACTTTCCCATTTTGCATTAACATACATCCCAAACCTTTGTATGAAGCGTCATTATAAACTTGAAACCCAGCAATACCATTAGGCAAAGTCAAAATTGGTGTAGTTACTAACCTGGTCTTTAGCTCTTGGAAGACAGACTCCTTTTGATCATTCCAATCAAACGATGTATTTTTCTGAGTCAATTGTGTCAATGGCATGGCCAGTTTGGAGAAATCTCTCACAAATCTGCGGTAGTAACCAGCAAGCCTCAGAAAGCTTCTTATTTCTGACACATTGGTTGGTCTTGGCTAGTTCACAATAACCTCAATTTTCTGTGGATGCCATCCTTGTTAATTACATGCCCCAAAAATGATACACTGCCAAGCCAGAATTCACATTTGGAAAATTTTGCATATAACTTCTTTTCTCTCAGAATTTGTAAAGCAGTTCTCAAATGACTTTCATGTTCTTCCCTACTTTTGGAGTAAATCAGTATATCATCAATAAACATAACTATAAATTCATCAAGAAATTGTTTGAACACTCTATTCATTAAATCCATGAAAGTCGTAGGTGCATTTGTTACCCTAAATGGCATTACTAAAAATTCATAGTGTCTATATCTAGTTCGAAAAGCAATTTTCTCAATGTCATCTGCCATAACTTTCAATTGATGATAGCCCGATCTAAGGTCAATTTTTTAAAACCCTTGGGCTCCCTAGAGTTGGTCAAACAAATCATCTATTCAGGGTAATGGATATTTATTCTTCACGGTCACTTTGTTCAATTCACGGTAGTCAATACATAATCTCAAAGACCCATATTTCTTCTTAACAAATAGGACTGGAGCATCCCAAGGTGAAGTGCTCTGGTAGATGAATTTCTTGTCTAGGAGTTCTTGGTGATGAACTTATAATTCTTTCAATTCAGAGGTTGACATTCGGTATGGTGTTTTCAAAATCGCGTGTGTTTCGGGTATAACATCAATAATAAAGTCAATTTCCCTATCAATTAAGTCTCTGAGCAATTCATTTGGAAATACATCGAAAAATTCATTTATTACTAGGATGTTCTCTACAGTAGGTCTATTAGAAGTCACATTCAAAACACAAAACAAGTAACTCAGCACCATTTTCTTAACAATTTCCTAGCTTTCACAAAAGAAATCAAATACGGTGGAGGAATTACCCAATTCCCAACAAACACAAATTCAAGCATACCAAGTGGTTGAAACACAACAGTTTTACTCACACAATCAATAGTTACACAATACTTCGTCAACAAATCCATACCCAGAATACAATCAAAATGAGTAATGTCCAGTGGTAGCAAATCAGCATATAATAACATATCCCTAGCCATGATGTCACATGCAGGATACACATAAGCACATAACATAGAGCCTCCATATGGTGCAGATACATATAACAAATAATTCAAAGGTTCTAAGGGTTAATTAATTTTCGAGAAAAGGCATGCAACACAAAAGAGTGCGTAGAACCAAAATCTATCAACACATAGGCATGTTGAGTACAAATAGAGATCATATCCGACACCACTGACTCGATGTTCTGTACATCACCAGGTAGTAATGCAAACACTTGGCCTTGCCTTAGAGTTTCTCTCTCAATATTGGTTTTCACATTTGTTCTTGTTGTAAGAGTGGATCCGACTGAACTTGTCGTAGGATGGTTAGCATCATCAGATCTCATCGGACAATCTCTAATCATGTGGCCAGTCTTGCCACACTGGAAGCAGGCACCAGATTCACGGTAACACATGCCTTTATGTTTCCTTCCATATTTAGAACAAGCTGGCATAGAGCCACTACTTTGACTTGAACTGCTTGAAGATCCCGTATTTTGCTTTTTGTGTGAGAAAGATGAATGGCCTTTCTGAAAATGGAATCCAGATCTTTTACTTCTCCATTCTGTTATTGGTGCTTTAGCTTGTTTCATTGCTACCAGGGTGGCCTCTGCCATCAATGCTCTTGCTAGTACCTCTACATATGTAGGCAACTTCGAAATGCCTACTCGATCAAACACATCTAGATCTAAGCCCCTTTCAAATTTCTGAGCCTTTTTATAATTTGTGTCAACCATATGAGGAGCAAATCTGGCTAACTTAGTAAACTTAGCCTCATACTCAACTACAGACATCTTGCCTTGCTTAAGTTCTTGAAATTCTGACACTTGACAGTCTATGAAGCATTGGGGAAAATACTTCTCATAAAATATTACCTTAAACTGGCTCCACGTCATAGTCCTACTATTATCTCGGATAAGTATCCACCATTGTCTAGCTTCTTCTTTCAAAGTATAGGTGGCCAAGAGAAGTTTCTGCATTTCTGAGCACGAGAGCACCTGTAGACACACCATTTTTTACGGCCCTTACGACTTGTATGTCATCGCTTGCATGCCCAATAATGAATGTATATGTTTGTCAAGAGCTCGAACTCCTCAGTGGAATGCCACAGCTTTGAGCCTTCAAACCCTACACACCTGTTGCCATATTTTTGGACCAAACCCAGTGATCTTCATGCCTGCAACCTCTTGTGGCCTGCCGACTACTGATATGGGCTACCAGCCACTGTTTCTGGTTGCTGGCCACCAATGTGTTTTGCAGATATTTTGTGACAGTTGTGCCAGCTATTTGCATAGATTCTTACATCTACTCCCACATGTATGGCTAGATATTTCTGAGGGAGTTACTTGGTTTTCTATATATAGAGGACCTCCCATCTTGCTTTAGTGGTTAGAAAATTTTGGAGCAAAATTTTTCCTTTCTCTACAATTCTCTCTCACTCTCTCTCTCTCACACACACACACAAATTTCTTCACCTTTGCCTATACACTCTTAACCAAACCTCTCCATCTTTGAGTTGAGGTACCTTTGAGCCTTGTTTGAGCTTTTGAGGGTGTGCTTGCCTTGTTTTATTGCCTAGAATTGGTTCTCCTCTTCAAAAGGTATAAAGCTTTGCCTCTTTATTTGCTTTATTTACTCTTCTTCTTACTATTTTCCAACTATTTTTAGGCTGTAAAAACTCTGTATTTTTGGGCTGAAACTTGGGTTTTAAGGCCAATAAAGGTTGAGGGGTGGTTCACCTTTCTTTATACCTTGCTTTCAAGGCCTTTACCCTTGTGTTTCCCACCCTTACACTATCTTTTTGACCTTTTAAACACTAATTTTCAGAGTTATTTCAGTGGCCAATATGATGTTTTGAAGTCCAAAAGTGGAGGGGTTAGCCTCTCCTCCTTGTGTCTTGCTTACTAGCCTAGCTTGTTCTATGTTTTAACTTATTATTTTAGCTATTTTTGTCTTAATTCCAGTATGTTTTAGGACTTATTTAGGACTATTTTTAAGTGTTTGTTGCATTTGAGCTTTGTTTTGCATGCTTATAGTGTAATTGTCCTCATAAGTTTAGTGTTTTAGGCCTTAGATAGCACCTTATTTGAGTTGATTGCATTTATTCAGGGCTTTTCATACTTTTGATCACATTTAATCACCTCTGCCACCTTCCTTCTTTCTTAGCTTTTGCTTTTCTTTAAAATTGGTTCCAAACTATGTGTCTATTTAAGCATGAGATTGAGGTGTCATGCTTAGTGGTTTGATCTCTTTAGGGGTTCATTACCAACGGTATGATGTCTCTTTTACACCCAAAGCAACATTTGGTTTGAGCCCTCTTTCCATTAGAGGACTTAAACTCACTTTTAGACTCAATTGATTAAAAAATAGACAGTAATTTAAAATGGAATAATAAAATTGAGGCTAAAAAAAAGGTGTAAGATAATAACTTGGTTTGGGTTCAATCGAACATTAATTGAACCCTCGAGTCTTAAGTCATTTCTCATTAGTGATGAAAACGGCTCAAGATTCATTGTCAACTACTTTCCTTGATCTTCCATGATAGAGAGGTGGTCTTGAGAGTCTTATTTTGTTGCATTTATTGAACTTACACACTTTGGTTCATAGGCCATCATGCAATGAAATTGCAAAGATTGATGGTTTGTGAATCAAATTTTACGACTTCTATGAGTTGTTCAAATGATAAGGAGAGGTACATTATGAAAACATCCCCTTGAGAATACCCTGTCCCTACTATGTTTGCTATCTATTGTAGCAAGACAATCCAGTCATCAATGGCCGATAGGCCACATCAATGGACAGCAGACCACCTGTGCAAAATTTAGCAGAGTACTTTTGAAGCATAACATAGTTGATCTGGAGGTGGAAAAACAGTGCAAGTGCTCTGGTGTGCAACAGAAGTTTCCCAGAAGCAAAACAGTGGTCTCTTTCAGGTTGAAACCACATTCATGCATGAGCCCTCCATCGATCCTCGGGATCCGTGTTGTAATAATATTAGTGTTGTGCTTAAAGTAGTGGCTTTGTAATTAATTAGTTAGAATAGTTAATTCGTCTCGTGTTGTAATTATTTTAATTAGCTAGATTAGTTAATTAATTAGTTCATTTGTTGTAATAATTAGTTAAGTAGTTTAGCTAAATTATTCATTTGGGTTTGTAATAGTTAATTAATTAGCATAGCTTAGCTAGTTAGTTTATTTGGACCCTCCTATGTGAGGGCATAATGTTGTAATAATGTGCATGTTTTCCAACCCCACGTCTTTCTCTCTTTTATTTACCTACTTATGATGATTAGATTAGGGCATCATGTTTAGTTTAGCATTCTCCATGTTTGCATCCACTTGTATTGCATGCACCGAGGCTCGGTTCATCATTCTAACTTGCATTGTTAGTTTAAATACTTATTGAAAACGTGCTTAGACCACATGCTATCAAATTGATTCATATGCCATAATAGTAGCCGAGCCTAGTAATTACATATTGCATGTATCATGCATTTTTTTAACGCTTTTGTTTATTTTGGCTTCGAGTACTAGGTGAGCCTTTACTCGCTTTAGCATATTGCATTGTATGTTGATTGTTGTCATGTTTAGCATGCTTAGCATGAGGCTAAGTGCTTAATTATTATAATTGTTTGAATGCCTATGGATGAAGACTAATTGCTTGAATTGGAATAATTTGAGTAATGTTTATATGTGATCATTTTTTCAAGTGGTACATATTCGAAACAATTTTCAAAACGAACATAAAATCAAATGTTCCAATTCTTGCAAGTTAGTCTATACTTGTGTGTGTGCTCATCACATAGTAATGCTAGCCTAATAATCGGAACAAGAGTATATATTGTAAATAAGATTTACATCATGATTAGTAGAGGTCGATCTTTGATCGGGCGAGCAGGGGTGCTCAATTCATGACCTTCCCCTCTCGTACATAAGTTCCCGAGCCGAGACAATCTTAGTGATGACAAACAGGTGGCCTTTGGCACTAGTCATGGGTTTCCTAAATTTTTCAAAAATATTTAGGTGGCGACTCTGTATCTGGCAAAGCAGTCCATTTTTGTCATTCTTTATTCAAAATTGATTTTTCAAAAGATTTTTTGGATTTGGACTCTTTGGTGTTTATCTATTTCACATTACACTTATGAGATTAGATTCAGAACCACGGGAGTCCGATACTGTAGGGCTTATTCATCTTCCAAAAGGGGGCAGCCATGTTTCAGCTTTCAACGACTCAATACCACCCAGAAAGATTAGCGGCTTCATTTTGTTGAACTTATGAGTCAATGTAATCATATTAGTGTTTTCCAACTCAACTGACACTGGGGGTGGTGGAGAGAGCACAGGTTGTTGTCTTTGTTGCTTTCTCATTGTTTCTGTTAAAGCTTTGAGCATTTCTTCCATTTGGCTCACGCAAGCCTCTGAAGATTCAGTTATATTGTCACTTCTTATATATTCCATTTCCTATAGGTAAACAGGGCAATCATAAACATAGGTAGAATAATCTCGTTCTCTGTATTCAATTCCAATTCAATTTGTTTCATCTTAATTCAAATATGCTCTGTTTATATCATTTCATTTTAGTTCGAGTATGTTCAAGTAGTTCACACACCCACATATGTAGATGGAATGCCCCTAATTCTTACTAGGACATCCTATAGCTCATATGGACTCATTTGTGCGGTAGTACATGAGCTCTGATACCACTCTATCATGACTCCAACCCGTCCCTGTAGGTTTAATGTCATAACCGGCCAGTAATGTAGGGATTACCCAAGACTTTTGAACAAAATAATAAAATATAAGGGGCTAGCGGAAGTAATTACAAACATACAACGTCTATAGAGTTGTGGACACATACATGGGACTGAAAATTTATATTTAAATATATACATGTGATGTCAAAGTTTCATAAGTCATGCGACATTATACAGATAGTATCATAAGGGACTTAGCCTGGGGTACTGATAAACAAAACAAAGCCCAAATGTCTTTGACGTGATTCATAAAACTAGACTTCTTCGGACGAAACCTCCTTGGGAGGCACTAAGGCTGGCTAACAAAATGGAACTCTAGGGCATCAACTCTGGGCCTGGTCACACACCCGGTCACCTACATACATAATATAAATAGTGAGCGGAAGCCCAGTGAATAATTGCAGAGTACAGGGTTTAATGAATATTGTTTTATAACAAATTTAGAAAGCATAATCAGATTCATATTCTTATTCAGAGATTAGAAACATGTACTTATTCAGTTTCACATAGGATCATACGTGGTACACCCTTTAGCGCTAACAAATCAAATATAGAGCATGAAGGGTCATACTTGACCAGTTCCACAAAGGAACCTCCGGGACTGGGAACATATAACATATTGAGCCACAATATTGTTACCCCCGGGGCAAAGGCCATAAGGCCACGGTAGTATAACCCCCGGGCAAGGGCCTTGAGCTCATAAACCATGGTATTGTTACCCCCGGGCAAGGGCCATGTGCTAAGAATGCTACGAATACTTGTCACAAATTGAACAATCATTCATTGTACAGAATATAGCATTTCATAAAATAGATCTTATTGCATTATACAGAAAACAAAAAAAGTTGAACATAGCTTTACTAAGTTATTACTCATAGATAGCTCCAAACGCAAAATAGATATAGCAGATGGATCAAGCGAGTTATGGCGCATGACCAACATAAACACAGAACGAATACACATTGAATCACACACCCGGAATTTTTTAACCTAATTCTTATCTTATCTTGGTGTGTTCTAATTCTTATCCTCATTATTATGTTTTAATTAGGACTTAGGAATGCCTAGAATGCAATAAGGATGCCAAAATGTACTTTGTAACACTTAGCAAACTTTGCTAAAAATAGGGCCTTCGCTGGAGCGCAACTTCCTTCACTCGATCAGAGGTTCAAAAATAAGAGTGATTGCTCAAGCGTAACTTCAATTGCTCGAGTGGTTTGTAAACTC